GTCCTCAGAGCGCCTTATCGCGATGTCTGATCGTTGCCGTAGGACCTCCAAGGTCTTGTGCTTGGACGAAACTTTTCAGGAGGAGGACTTCACTGAGCAAGAGTTACTTGAATTAGCAGCGGCATCACGAGATCGGCAGGCGATTCGCGAATATAAAGCTGCCGTTTACTGTCATGGTCTGACGCAGTGAGTTTTTCGGCGCTGCTTTACACTGGTGATATGTAAAGTTGGCGGCAAGAGTAATTCCAGGAATGGGGTACTTCGAGCAAAGAGGCGCCAGGACTTGTATTTTGCAACTAAAGCATTTGTTATGTATATACAGGTGAGTGACTATCACATATTTTGCATTAGTACGGAGTAAATAATTTTGATAAGAAAAAAATTCAAGATGATTTGCGTAATGTTGGTGGCCTTCATGGCAGTCATTGTCTTCCACCGTCTTCACAAAGGCACTGAGTCGTCGTACTTCGCTACAGAAATCTTCTTAGAGGTAACTTTCCATTTATTCAAGAATGTGGCACTCCATGCGATTGCAATGAGCAGATCGGCGCTCACTTTCTTGCCACGTAACCACCGAACACATCCTTCCGTTCGTCGGTGGGTGCAGGTGTCAGAGCTGTGCGGGGTCAGGGCAGAATATCATACCTCTTGTCTCACCCACAGCAGAAGCTATGCCTATCACCGCACATACACACATACTGAAACTTTCTATAAACGGTCAGGAACTAATTACCCAAGTACCAGGTCGGTCTATTTGAACTTTGGCGTTGCGAATTCAAACTGTACAATCACGTTTGTAGATCGTGGTCTTTGCCATATGGAGGTGAATGAATCGGCAGCTGCAGACAGCAGTTGGCACTTTCGCTTTTCAGCCGTGATGGAAACGGGACTGGAGGGTGGTTTCGCGCGGGTGCCGTCTCCATAATTGCGCGCTGTCGCACGGTCATGCCTCGCCATGCAATAGCGGAGCGTGCTCTTTGTCTGCGCTCTCTCACTTCTGATTGTTCTCTACAGCTTGAGTACGTGTTTCGCTGCGGGACCTCGGTATCGATGCAAGTGCTGCGCTTCGATACCGCAAGCGGGGCGACTACCATAGTCGCGCTCTCGTGCACGCGGGAGGGGGTGAAGCAACGCGCTACTGCAGTTATTCATTCGCAAGAAACGTCCTTGGAGGTGGGTGAACATTTTGCCTTCAACCTTCAAGCGTTGCCGCTGCTCTAAGTTGAAGGCAGGGGATCAGGATAATTGCTATAAACATCACTTCTGCCAAAAAAGGAGGCGTGATTCTAAAACCTGCTTCTTAAGAGACTGATCCCTTGATGTGACCGAAATGGCTAGGAAACCATCACACGTCAGCTCGCGCGGACCTCAAAAAGGCACCAGTTGAAAAAACACGAGCGGGCATGGTACCAGCACGGTCAGGTGAAAAAAGGAGAACCGAATGAGTTGATATTAGAAAGTCACAGAGGGATCGAAATAGAGCAATTCCCGGCTATTGGATGTCCTGGGGACTAGCGTACTCCTTATCGCTCTCCACCGCGAATTCCTTTTGTTGACCAACAGGTAATATACGTCGGACGAGCGCATGTAGTGTTCACATCGTCCCCTGTTGCGACATCGACATCATGTCGAATGTTTAATTACTCCTGCCGAACGATGTTGTTCGATGGAACCTTTCATTGAGGCGTTTCAACCTTGTCGTCTCCCTCAGAAGCGGAAGTTCCCACCGTGCGGAACCTACCTCACTCTATGTGTCAGTTAGCTTAGAAAGGACGAAATAATGGAACACGAAACTTCGTTCTACTAATCTTACTGACACACACATGAGCTAGGCTCCGCACGGTGGGACCTTCGCCCTCTGAAGAAGACGAGAAGGTCAAAACGCTAGGCCAATGAAAGATTTCATCGAAAAACCTCGTTTGGCAGAAGTAATTAAACATTCGCCTCAAAGTGTCTTTTCCGCTCGGAGCGATACTTCTTCCAGATCATGGTGCTGTTTTTCATACTGCTAGTAATACTTTTCGAGCATGACGGTAAGCTATTACTTTTATCTTGTCATCTATCCAGTAAGACTGCGTTTATACTTTGAGGCAGTGTCCACCAGCGTCCACTAGCAATCCGAGCGTAGCAACGGTGACCATGAAAGTGTACAGGGGTGCAAAAAAAACATTTTTCTCCCTCGACTTTCAAGGCGATATAAGCTACACGTTATTAAATTCTGATTGGGGAATTTTCACCATCGAATTCAACAACGCATTGCACACGAAATTCCACCATTGCCTTCTGGACGAAGGCCTTCTAAAGATTTTGCCTTGCGACCGTGATTCGTGA